ATTTCAGGATGCTATTTTCCTGAAATGTCAGAAAATGCAAAGATCAACCTCATACATTTTCACATATTTGAACTTTAAATCCGTTCCTTAAGCAATGGAGGAGGAGCACACATGCGCTGAGTTGTAATTTGCTTGCAATTGCCTGATCACACTCTATTGTGCATCCCTTGACTTTCCAGTGGTTTGATTTCCACCAGTATAAATACTGTTCTGCCCAAACAGTTTCAAATTTTAGAACTGAATGACCTTGGTGTTGTGAAGGTCACTGTGTGTATGTCCAAACAGAAGTTTGAGTTTGGTGGGCCTGATCTTGTCTCATCGGTCTTGATAAGATGGTTCTTTCCAGAGCGAGTGTCCCAGAAACATTTGATGTGCAGCCCCTAGTACTGCGTAGCTGACCTTTTTTATTATTCTTAAATTAGAAATGGGGATATAAATGTTGTTATATGAAATGCATTAGTGCAAATGCATCTTTAAAATGTATTGAGTTGGAAGAGTTTGGATACAGTATATTTACCATAGTGAAGTATACATGTAGTCAACTACACAGGGTGCAGATTTTAAGAATAACCAATAGTATGCTCTATCTCATGCAACACAAATTTATTAGAGCTCTCATGAGCTTCTCATATGTGATACCACATCTTTTTGTTGTGTTGTTTTTCCTGTCTGCATAGGATTCAAAAAATAGTAGTGGGGGAGGAAGAGATGGCTGCTTTAAAGAGTATCAACTATCTATACACAGAAGAAGTAATTTCTTGTTTCACACAAAGCGTGGCTTCGTTTGGTAATGTTTGTAACCAGCAGGAAGAAAATACAATAGCTTTTTGAAATATTACTTACAACAGGAAAGTGCTATAGTTAAATATTGCTCTCCCGTTCTACGAATTCTGCCAGACACTGATTTTTCACTGTACTTGTATGGCTGATAAAACATTGTGTGGGAAGGTGCTGCTTACCTGTTTATTCCAGCTATATTCATTTCCTTATGGAGAGATGGAATGTGAACCTTCTCTGTTTGCGGAGACCAAAGCATTTTTTGGACATGTTTGTACTAGAATAAATTTATATTGAAGTATATGAAATGGCTAGAGTTGCCTTTTTGTTTGCCCTGTTTAAACTCCCACCATGTAAGCTTAATCATGCTTGTTGTGGCGAAGACTAAAGGATGAAACTTTTAGGAGCACTCAGAATTCACCTGGTTTTTATTGCAGTGGTTTCAAGATGGTTTTCCGTCCTTTTTAATAGAAATGGAAGTTAGAGCAGTGCTGGGCACATGTGAAAATCCTACCCGTAATGTGCATCTTTATTATAGAAAAGATTTATACCTTCTTTCAAATTGCCTTAGGAGACCAGCTTAACATGGAATGTATTTTATTGCTTAAGAGGTAAACGATTGCAGCAACCAGAACCCAAGAGTGTTTTTAATTTCAATAAAAAAAGATGCAAAAGGTCAATTAGTGTTTTAAAAGGTTGGTGCATAAATCAGCGCAGGGCACTGCAAGTCCACGCATATTTTGCAGCAGAACTGTTCTAGCTGTTCTGTATTTTGCGTGTGAGGACCGTTGCCTAGCATCTGTGTTAAAGTAAAATGAAATCACCCTTACTTATGCGGGAAGGGGAGGGGTGCGCTGTGATTACTTATCACCCCGCACATAACCCGATGGGGCACGTGGCCTCCTGGCAGCGCCGGTGACGCAGTGATATTTCACGGTGGCACGAGTAGGTTGCCAAGCAGCAGCTGCTTTTGCCAAGCACCTTGTTTGGAGCCATGACTGCTCGGCACGTCTATTTGTGGCACGGAGCAAAACGCTCAGCGGGGCTGGCCGGCCACCAAGCCTTCTCTGTAAGAGTCCCCATCTGCCTCTGGCAGCCACCGGCATGGGCAGCCGGATTTGAAAGTTCTCCAGAGAAAGCAGCGTGTGAGCGGGGCGACAGTCGTCCGTCAGCGATGATAAAGCAGTGCGGCTGTTTTTGCCTGCTGTCTTCCGAAGCCCTTCTCCGTAGCTGCAGTGGGACACTTCCCCTCCCCTCTTCTGCCGTTTCCTTTAGCACCTTCCCCGCCATCAGCTTTGGCTTCTGATAAGATCCTCAGTGTGCCAGGAGGAGCCTCTCTGTCTTCTTCCTTCCTGCGTGCCTTTTCCAGTTAAATACTGAACTTCTCCCTTTTCTCCTCTCCTTATCACTGCTTCCTTAACAGTGGGCTGGTAGGTTTTATCCCAGATCCCAGGGAATGCCCTTAGGAAGCTGCTGCTGCAAATCAGCAACCCCCTACACGCTTCTCGCTCCCCGTGGACAGCTTCACCTCAGAGTAACCTAGAATTCCCTAATGAAAATGCCATATATTTTTAACAGTGTATTTCAGATCTTGGCAGCACACCTCCAGCAAAATGACAGAAAAGAGAAAGATGGCCAGCTGCTCTGGATTTGTGGACTACCAAACCTTCACAGTAGAAACTATGTTTTGCTTCAGTAGCAGAAAGGCTCTCCTTAAACTCCTGGCAAGCTCCTTTCTTGCTTAATGGAAAACAAATTGGGAGTAATTCCACCAGCAGCGATGGCAATAGGCCTTGACAACCAGGCAGCTTCTACTTATTGCACATATGGAGTCCTATTACCTTGTAAGACTGCTCCTTGAAAAAAGCTAGGAAGATTAAAACAGGCTTTTCGGATGGACATCTTATTGCACTGACCTGCTGTACTACTTGCTTTGCTGCAGCCGTGCAGAAGACTGCGCAGTAGCAAGCCGAAGAAGCAAGCAAATATTTTCCTGTTGACCGCAGAAGACACAAGGCAGCAGAAGTGGCTTCCAGCCACCTTGGTAGCTTGTGGATTTCAGGTTAGTGCAAGGACTGAAGTAGTCCACTGGGAGAAGGAAACTCCTCAGGGCTCTCTGAATCGCAGCAGCAGCCTCCCAGGAGAAATGCCTGCTATCTGGAACAAAACACAAGAAAACAATTGAGGAGATGATCCGTGATAAGGGGAAGAGACAGACTGGCTTGCTGTTTCTTATCTTAGTGGCTTGGTGCACCTGCACTAGTCCTGGATGAATCGGCATGCTTAGTCCATTGTAGTCAGTCTCCCTCGAGTTTTTCATACGCACAAAAGCTCAGCATTGATCTGTGCAGGAAATGTTGGGAAGCAGCATGGAGAAGAAGAGCCGGCACCACTGTGCCTGCACCTCCATTGGCAAACAGTGCTCGTTTTCATCACTGGTGTTCCAGCGGATGCAGAAACCTTTTCTTCTAGCGCTGTTTCCTGCAATGGTGCTCTGGCAAGTTCATCGTGGCCTAGGGCTACAACCTGAGCATTGCTTGATCTGGAACTTGCTCCATGACAGATAAAAATAGGGCTTGAGCTCCAGCCAAGCCATGTAAGTGGTGAGGGTGCAGCCTCCTTAGCCTGTTACAGCTTGTGACTCCTGGTAGCTCTGGTGCAAGATGGATGATCACACCTACGGATGGGTAAATAAGCAGGGTCATGGTGCCTGGGTCCCACCTACCGTGATGTCTTGTGGCGCAGGGGAATAGCTTGCCCAGAGGTTGCTTCCTGCCGAGGGGAGGTGAGGGAAAGATGCCTGACCAAACCCATCCCACAAATTTGGCAGCAGCAGAAACGTAGTGCTGTGTTGGCCAGGCTGTAGGAAGATGGCTACGTGCGAGCCCAGGCCTGCATGGAGAGTGGCGTGTGCGCTGCTGTACGCTTACTGAGCAATCTATCCTGACTAGTGGTGAGAGATACGGCCCAAAACCATCATAAACCAGACCCTCTGCAGTAGGTCCTAGGAAGGTGAAGGCATATTAAGAAGTAGTAGCCTTGACTGGACTTTCTATCGTATCCTTTGTCATCTTCTAGTCCTGATTTCTCTACTTGTTCCCTCTGTTCATCTCCTTCCTGTCCTCTGCTTTCTCATGCCCCCTCGCAGACTAGCAGATTCTTCGGATTCCAAGACACAGTGTGTCATGAGCACAGAGTGCATGCGGTTCTGCAGTTCAATCGATTGCTAATAAGGCTGAGTCAGTTCAACGCAAGAGATGATAGTTACTTGGGACAGCTTCCCAAAACCCTGCTTTGTCTGCAGTTACGAGTTGCTGGAAGCCGAGTATCCCACGTCTGCCACAAGCGCCGCGCTTCAAGCAGGGAGAGCTGCTAGCTGCAGATCTGCAGCTAATCAACCCTGCCTTCCCTAGTAAGCAGTGCACAACAGGATTTTTAAATAGGATATAACCATGAAATAATTGCACGGTTATGTAGGAAGGGATTCTGTGGTGAAGGAATGATTAATTTTTATTCTTTGTTCCTGGTCTTGCTCTCTCAGTTCCCTAATATCCACAGTAAATTACTTCAGCTTTCAAACCTATGAAGTATTCTTACGTTAGATAACTGTTGTAAATGCAGCACATCACTGGAAATCAAGCTTTGTTTTTCCTCCTTCATATATTGCCCATTATAGCATACCTGGCAGTTCGATTAATGGCCTGTGAAGCACAACAGAAACCAAACTATCTGTCTGTACCTACCCCTTCTCTAAAGTGCTGACAAGAAGAAAGATGCCTATAGATAAGTTCAGCACATCTGACTTAGAAGACACAAGTGGAACATTAAAAGCCATTTTTACAATGTAATTCATATACTGTAGCATTAAAGCAATATTTACCTAACGACAGAACTCTTCTCTTCACGCTTTCCACTGCTGGTTTGCCCACGATAAAATGTTGCTGGAATCCGCCTCCCCCCCCCTCAGCAGAAAGTAGCTGCGGACAGGTTTGGCGGTGAACATGTTAGCTCACATAGGTTACCCATAACGCAGCTCTCCCGGGCGGCTGCTATCAGCAGCCGGCAGCGAAGGAAGCCCCTTTCCAGCATCCGAGTTTGCATGAGGGCCTGGCAGGGGAATGTGCTCCCCCGCTCGCAGCTAGCGCCAGTAAATCACAGCGTGACGGGCTCACCGCCCCGCCGCTGAACTTTTAACTTGAAGCTCTAGCAGGGCGCTGAGCAGCTCCAGCTACATGACACGGAGCTGTGAAAGTAAATCACTTCGCTGGGAACAAGGGGAAGTCCAGCATATTGTTTTGCAGACTTTGCCTACAGCTTCTTTGCAGTATAAGCGTAGAATATATACACCCGGGAAAGCAATTAGAGAGAGATGGACTTCCAGCGCAGAGCTCACCCTTACCCTATCCCGGAGGATGAAGAGGTTGCACACAAGGTCGCTCCTGATGCCCACAACTCTGCAGGAAACGAAGGCGAGAAACCGGTGTCAAAGTTGCAACGTAGGCACAGTGACGTAAAACTCTACAAAGAGTTTTGTGACTTTTATGCAAGATTGTAAGTTCGTTCTGTTCGGCTTTGGGGTGTAACTACGGTGGCATTACTGGCACATTGTACATATGTATTTTAGTATCTGAGCTCCGGGCAGGCTGTGTAAGCCGTTCTGTAATGCAACCTTTGCCACTGTTCTGCTTGATACATTGCCAGTTGTAATCGTCAACTAAAATTTGAGCTGTTGCTTTAAACTTCGTCATTAATTGTGTCAGAAATTTTTATCAGCAGTTGAAAACGGGGTTGGAATTTGTCAGGTAGTCTCCCTGACTTCAGGTTGTTTGCCTGTTATTTTGGGCAAACGGATAAACTCCTTCACTAATGCAGAAGTATTACATACATCGCTGTTTTTACATATATGATGCCTTTCAAAGTGAAGTACTTTTGCATACCAAGGAGGAAAGTTTTATGTTTTCATTTGTTTTTGAACTTTGTTTCATGTTTTTGCTTGGATTATACTTTATGTCTGGCAGCATTTAGCATCCTTAGTGCTTGAGAACTCTTGAGGTAATGATGAAAGATCCCAGTTTCTGTTGTGATTATTCTTCATTTAGATTGATGGGGAGGACGGGTGAAGTGACTGAGGTTTTCCCCCACAGAAAGCATACACAATCCATGGAGACCATCAGCGAGCTTTATAGTTAACCACAGTTTATATGTATAATCACTGCCGTTTGTCCATGGGCTTGTCTGTTATGTATGGGATAGACCATCTTCCATCTCATCTCCTTGTGAAATTTGCCCGCTTGTTGTTTCAGCGAGAGGGCGGTGAATATTTGGATAGCAGTTACTGTCTTCCTCTTCTGCAAAGATCTCGACAGAGAGAGAGAGAAAAAAAAGCCAGCTAATAATAACTGCTCAGATGTGGCCTTGCGTAGGGCTCTTCTGTGAGACAGCGTAAGAAATAGATAAAGCATATTCCTTTTGAACCGTGTGCTAGGTGTTTGCTTCCTCCCTCAGATGCTGTGCAAGGAATGAATTCAATTCCTATTGAACGTGGTGGGAGCCAAGAGGTCTTATCCCCTTTTGGGGAAAGGCTTGGCATCTTGCAGAGGACTGAGGGCTCTGCACTTACAGGCACAGCATGATAGCTGTATCAAAATGTGTGCATGCGTGCACATGTGTTTAAAATAATGTCAGTTGTTTAATAAGCTTCCAGACAGATGTTTGAGTCAGTGGTTTTGTCAGCTGTGGTCAGACTGTAATGAAACTGGACCATTGCCCTGTATTTGCTCTCTGCTATCAAATGGTATTAGGGCAGAGAGTTGATCCTGAAAGGCATAGCTTTGAGAGTCTAGGTACGAGTAAGAAAATGCTTGTGAAGGAAAAATCAAGTGAGCCTTTTTCTGGCACAGGAGCCTTAATTAACTGAAACACAGCTGTACTGTCTTCCGCAGGTGTGGACACAATCATAGTGAAGTAGCTAATTCCTCTGACATTTTGCAGCTACTGCGCTGTCATTTTATGGTCACATGCCTTTGAGAAGCAACCAAGGTTGCAATTTGAGTAATTTTTTGCATTCCTGGCATGGGGTCGCCAGCTTGTGTTGGCCTGCGTGTGGGTCGCAGTGGGGCAGCCAGAGCGTTCCCACCCCCCCCCTCGGCCCTGGACTGACACAGGCATGCTGTGAGCTGACCTCCCTGAGATGAACCTTAACAAACCAACCAAAAATCCCATGGCTTCAAACTAAATTTGTAAAATGACTTCAAGCTATACGAAGCTTATATAAGGAATAATTGTTTACCTGCCCTGGTTTTCAGTAATATCTGCCAGACTAGATACCGTACACTCTCACATTGCTTATTTAGAGCTTTTGAACCAATGCTGTTATATGTATTTCAGAATTAGGAATTATTTTGGTATTATCATTTATGCTTTACTATGTGATGCCAGTCCTCAATTATTGTTAATGTTTGCCCTTGTTTTCTGTAATTCTAATGTATTTTGTCATTTTTATAGTACTCCTTCGAATTGCCTGCCTTTTCTTATCATAAAAAGCCTGTAAATGTATCTGTAGTAACAACATTTCTGTTTGGTTTTTTGAATTAATAGTTATTAGAGTGCGTTGTGGGGGTTTTGTTTCTAAAGAGTTTGGGAGCAGGGGCAAATGGTAGTTTTATTTCTGAGGGGATGCCACAAGTCATTAAGTCCATTAAAAAACTTGTGTTGAGCAGCCCAGCGTTAGGCAGATGCAGTTGGCTTTGGGGAAAAGATACCCACAACCAGTGGTGTTGCCTATTTGGGCTAATTTTCTTTCTTTTCTTTTTTCATGACAGCAACATGGCGAACGCGCTTGCAAATGCCATCTGCGAGCGCTGCAGAGCTGGCTTTGCCCCTGCCGAGAAAATTGTCAACAGCAACGGTGAGCTGTACCATGAGCAGTGCTTCGTCTGTGCCCAGTGCTTTCAGCAGTTCCCCGAAGGGCTCTTCTACGAGGTAAACAGGGCAGAGTGCCCCTCTCGCCCCCAGCCTTTGCCTTGTGCCTTCATTCCCATACCAGAAGTAGCTACGGGCAGATCAATAGCTTAGAAAGTTCCGTGGCCATAATGGGGCTCCGAGAGGATATGCCCAACAGAGGGAGAAAAAAGCAATGTTTCTGTGCCAATTTGGAGGACATCAATAACCTTATTTAAATGTATAGCCTCATGCTATCAGAGCTGAGAAAAGAACTGCTGGAGATTTCTCTCTCAGTGTAGACTTTTTCCCCTGAAATCTGTGAAGACAGTCCAGATATCGTGCCAGAAATACAGAGAAAGCGTACTTCTTAGAGGAGAACAGTCATATAGAAGGAAACCCCAGCATCCTGCGGTCCACAGAAGGTTTATTGCTGAGTTGAGTGAGGCCAGTACGGCATGTGAAAAGTTGCTCGTAGGGATGACCTGGAAGTCAGCATGCTGAGATCAGGGTGTGTGGAGAGCCCAAACGAGAGGGGGCCTATGTAGGATCAACTCTAGGTTTAACAAACTGGAGTATTCAAAATTAGCGGTTCTTACAGTCTTTCAAGGGTTAAAACCCACTCTCACTCATATTTCTCAGCCCCAGGTAGATTGCCCTCAGCTCAGATGGGTATCTTGATATTGGTGTCATTTTCTTTTGCCTTCCCCTATCGTGGATGTGGCTTGGCTATCTCAAGGACAAAGTGGCTTTAGTGAAAGCTTTAGACTAGTTCATAAAATACGAAGTGATTGGTATAAGGAAGGGTAGATGATGTGAGACAGGGCATTGCTGTCTGAGAGATAAGGTCCTGCTCAAGTAGCTTGTAGTCCAACTTACAGTAGCAGTTACAGGATTTATGTCGTACTGTGATCTGAAAAGGAAGGTGAGCAGTGTGTTAGAAGCACAATGCTGTGCTCTCACGTACAGTGTGCCACCCTTGTGGCAAGAGCACAACTGTTTAACTTCCACAGTAGTATTTCTGATTTGACAGAGCCACGTTACGTGGTGATGAGGAGTGGCCGAGGGAGGAGTGTGGATTGGAAAAGAGACTGGCAAAGGGGATTCCTGGGGTTTGCTTTCTCTCACCTTGTTTGAGGAACAAAAGACTTCGGTGCTGTAGGGATAGTGTTGCACAAATTGTGGTAAATGAGCCACTAGTGTTCCATAAGACATCAAAAGGTGAGCTGCAAGGCAGTAGCAATTAAATAAAAACAAAACACCCCCTAGATACTTACATGTTGCATTACAATTGTTAATATATACTGAGCTGCTGCCTGCTTGCAGGCATGGTAAGAAGTCCATCCTGACGTGTTAAGACCTGAGGCAAATGTAAAGTGATACAAGTGTTTTAAAACTAAAATATTTGTAATTGTGTTAATAAAATAATCTTAAAACAATAAAATGTATTTTCTCTAAATAATAAGTACTTTATTCATCCTTTTTCTCACTCAAAAAACAGTGAGACATTCCAGGCACCTCTTTCAGAAAGTCAAATGGTCCTTTGTTAAAGATAAAAGTTTGAGAAATCCTGCTCTAGGCAGCCTGTGTCTCCTAGGGGATAGACAAGGACCACAATGGAAAGGCAGTCTTACTTTTGCACCTAGTCCAAGAATATTACAACCTCTCTGTTGCTCACAGGTGGCCATACCTGAATCTCCTTGGCAGGGATGAGTATCCTGGTGGTGTTTAGATATATTGGATGTAGGCATTTTGCTTCCTACTGCTACCTTGTTAACATTCATATTCATTATGGTTGGTCTTTGAGCACTGTCTTACTGCAAAGTGGTGGTCCCTGTTAAAGACAGAAGATCAGAAGTGAGTGTCGATAGATTGTCCCGCGAATGAAATGTCCCCATGTACTAAACATGTTTGGTTAATGTTGCTAGGGGTTTTTTTCAGGCTGGGTAGGGACTTTGTTGTTGAGAAATGTTACATAGAAAGTGGAAAGTTTCAGTTAAGATTAGACACTTTTTGCCACAGCTATTATAGAGGTAAAATAATTGTGATGAGGATTAAATGAATGCATAAAGACTTGTGCATGGCTTGAACTTCACATCACCCTTCTGCCTCTAGCCCTTCTAGTATCCACCACAAGATCTTGCAGTTTCTCTCCGCACCAGCAAGTCTGTCTGCTGCTGTTGAAGAGAGGTACTATTTGGTCTGTTTAAGCCCTCTGACAGCTTTCAGGTGATGGCTTATAAATCTTACCCAGCCTTCCTCCCCCATCTATACTGGCCTGTCCTGGGCATCTTCTAGAGAGTGGAGAGGTCAGTGGATATCCGTGCTGTCCCAGTCCTCATGCCTTTGGGGCTGTTGCAGCTGGGAAATCTTTGGCAGGGCCTTCTCCTCTGTCTCTGCACCCTGTAGGGTGTCCACACATGTCCCGTGATGCCAGAAAGACTCTCACGTAGCACTGAAGTGGCCAGTGAGATGATTGCAGTGGAAACCCCAACATGTTTCCTGGTGGTGCTGCTCAGGGTGAAGGCAGATAAGGGCACAGCTTGCTCTTCTTTCATTCGACACCTCGGTACTAGAGATGAGAATGTACTGGGTGACAGCGTTTGGGGCAGAGGCAGGGACAGTCCTAAGCAGGTGGACAGCGGGCTTAGGTTGGCCAATGCTCAGGAGGTGGCTGACAGTTCTCTGAGGACTTGAGATGATCTGTATCACTGTCAAGAAAAAGTGACTGGAGGAGATGGACAGAAAGGATATCTTCCTCTGACTGGCTTAATGCGCTCTTTGAGAAGACGGATGCGTTTGGAGGTGTGGCCAGGTAACATGTTTTTCTGAGCAGGTTCCCCATAAACACAGGCATTGTTGATTGCCCAGCATGAGTTTGTGTTTATTTTGTGCCTGGTTTAGCTAAGCTAGTGTTTCTCAGAAATGATTTCCAGCTCTTAGCAATTAGGAAGTCAAATATTCTTCCCCTGCCTATTGCAAGCCTTGCAGAGTTCCCCCAGTTAGTCATTAAGCTGCTTATCACATTAGCCATCAAACGCTGCCAGCAGCTTTCACGCTGTGTTCCATGGGTAGGGCCTGAACTGGCCAGGCTGATGCAGGTCTCCTGCGCTACGAGACGTGTCTCCAGGCTGCCTGCAGGGACCCCGATCAGCACAGCTCGCCGTGGTCTGGCACCAGAGCCGAGCCACTTGCAGGCACAAGCGGTGCCATGCCGGAGCAGTGCCCATCCGCAGCTTGGAGTTTGCACAGCGTAGCAGGAATTTTGTTGATGTCCTCGTGAGCCTATGTTAGAAATGATAATACGGATTCGTAACCAGCCAGTGTTGGCCTTGTTGCATAAGGGTGTAGGCGAGAGCTGTGTGCCTAATGTTGCACGGGAACTGTAGGTTTAGGACCTGCTAGGGCATATTTATGTTCCAGTTTGCTCAGTGTCATCAGTTTAGCATGCTTTCTTATGCACTCAACCTAAACAGAAATTAGCACAAGCACATGCCAGCAGAGTTTCCGAACTCGACGTGCTTTGCCGTCAGTTGTGAAGTGGTAGCAATTCTGGTCTGCTTTTACTCCACCACCTGGCAGCTGTGTATTCCCTAGAGCTGCTGTTGCAGAGTCTTACAACAGGTAGCAGTGCACAGTCCTATACTGATAGCAGAACAGCCAGCTTAAATGGAGAGCCTCGGTGGCAGCGCGCTCAGAGGGACAGGTTGGCCCCACTGTAATCAGTCAGCGGGCATTTCCTCCAACCCACATTACTCTCGGGTCCAAGAATGGCTCCTCCCTACTAGAGGTTGCCCATGTCTCCCACTGGGGAGTGTGGGCACCTCACCTTCAGACAGGGGAGGTTAGGAGAGATGAGTCCTACCCCTGGTCCAGCTGTTCGTTAAGAGCCTCTTGCTGGGTGCTTTTAGAAGAAACCCAACGTGCTCTGCGCTGTGCTGAGGTGGGGGAGATGGAAGGGATTAGAGAGGTGCATCCCACAGTAGAAGAAATACAGCAAAATCCTTATGGACTACTTACAAGAGCTACAATTGGGGAATCTGTATTATTATTATTATTATTATTAATCTTATAATAATACAATAACATTGAATGGCACGTGACTTTTGTCTCCTAAATGAGAAGGAGTTCCCTTCAGTTTGGGGGTTTTTCTAAGATGTTTGTAATAAGCTATAGGAAGATTAAAGGAAGGAGCAGCTGCAATGCACTTGTCAGATTTGTTTCTATTCCAGTTGCACTTCGAGTGTTTTCTTAAAATGGGCTTTACCAGAAACTACCTTAGAGAAAGGGTCTTTAAAGACTCAGTTTTTGTGCATGTCTTTCCACTAAGTTAGCTAAAAACATGGAGATCAGCTGGAGGTTATGTCACGGTGAAAAGTTCTATGCATAGCCCTTTAACTCATGGACCTCCAGCATACAACAGTCAAATGACCTTGCTTTTAAAATATGTGCTGTGGGATTTGTTACAGAAGCTCAAGGCTTTCTCTGACGGATGAACTGCTTGGTCATCCACAAAAGGCAGCACAAATGAGCCAAGAAGGTTGAAAATATAAACAAGACTGAATGGTAACCAACCTGCCTGATGCAAACCAGAGAGGAAGAAAACCTGTTTGGTCCACCCAGATCAACATGTGGTGGCTCTGAAATCCAAACAAACCTAAGCATCTCCCATTGGACCACCTGTTTACACAAAACAGGAAGATTTCGGATTTTTTTCAGTTTAAAAAGGATTTTATCCAGCAGGAAGCAACCACAATTCACAATGAACCAATAATTTCTATTACTCTTTGAGTCCTCTGTCTCTCAATCTTTTTTTTAAAAAAGCTCCAATTAAAAAAGTCATCTGTTTTAGAATATTACACTGGAAAAACACTTGATAAATTGCTAGCAGACACTTCTGAAAGAGTCTGTATTGAGCACGTCTTTCTGGTCCTAGTAGGTGCAATTCAGGTTGGGCATAGGAATTAAGTTTCTGATCTCAAGTATCCAGTGACTTCTAGAGTGTTTCATTAGATCCTCATCCTGCCAGTGGCTCTGTATATTGCACAAGTAATTACTGTACGTATGTTGTAATTGATCCTTGGAATTTCATAGTATAAAATGGGTAATCTTGAAGCACATTGCTGTATTTTCTGTCCGTGCACCAGAATTTCATTTGTGGGTAGTATTTTATGCTATTCGCTTTGCTTTGTCTTAGACCCAGTAAAAAGAAAGGAGTGGTGTTTCCTGCTGTCCCCCTTTTTCCACTGCTTTAAACTCAGACATTCAAATCCAAACATTTTATAGCATACCTAATATTGTCTATCTGGTTTTGACATGCTAGTTGGCATTTGTGTCTAGTAATGATGTGCCTGAAGGTATCTAAACATTTCCCTTCATTTCAGGACATACTTGCCTACATGTTTTTACATATTCTTCGGCTAAGTTGCTAATGCAGTGCTGTAGAACTTTTTTTTTTCCATTTTTTTTTTTCCTATGCAAGCTTGAACTGCAGCTGAACTTCTGTAAGCTGTGAGAAAATTCAGATGCAAATCCAAATCCCTGAAGATCGGTTCCCTATTTCATCTGGTCTATGTAGTGAACTTTGTTGCTTAAAATTTGGACTTGATGATCTTAAGGGTCTTTTCCAGCCTAAACAATTCTATGATTCTATGAAATAAGCATAACGAAGGAAAAGCCTTATTTCCCTTCATGTTTTGGCTGTACTGCTCCATAAATTGCAAAGATTTCTGTCCCTGGGTGTTCTTCCTTTCCCTGTACTTACTTCCTCCGGTATGCTGGGTCATTCTTGCAGGAAATGTAGAGTAGGGAAGAGATCAAATGGGTTCAGGGAAAATGCTTCCCCCCAGGAAAGGTTTTCGTTAGCTAATTTCCTGCCCAGAATTGTTCAGTTGCATCAGTGTTTCTCCAGTCTGTCAAAATTCAGACGTCTCTTGTGATGTAAATGGGTGACAGAAAACGCCTTACACTCTCAGCAGTATTAGAGGAGAGGTGTGCTATTAACGCTACATGCTAACTAGTAGCTGAATCAAGGTGGGTGGATTTAATGCCTAGCACATGGTCTGTTTTTTTGTGCAGCCCCTCATGTTTTACTACCTAATTGCATCTGGAAACAAACTGGTATGCTACAGCATTTATGTTAAGAGCATGCTCCTCATCCCTCTAACACTCAGTTTTTTTTCCATTTGCAGTTTGAAGGGAGGAAGTACTGTGAACATGATTTCCAAATGCTTTTTGCCCCTTGCTGCCATCAATGTGGTAAGTTTTACATCGAGGTGAAACACTTCACACCGATCACAAATGGGAACATCAGCGGGGGAAGACGTGCAACCCTTGTATATGTCCTCTGGAAGGTGGCCCTGTGCAGCTGAGCATCTGAACTTCCAGAATGAACTAGACTTCAGGGAATTTGGGAAGCTGCTTTTCCTAATGGTCATCAAACAATAATATTAAAAAAAAAAAAGTTTGCATTATTTGAGTGAGTGGTTTAGCTGTTGATCCAGTGATCCAATGAACAGACCATTCATTACTCCTGATTATATATATCTATACATCCGCATGTGCTCATATTTGGCCCTTCTCATGCAGCTGAAACCCTGCAACAAGTCTTTGTCATCTGCTTTGACTACTGTAACCCACCCACGCTGTCCTACTCCACAGAAGCGGGGACAGTCTTCATCATCTAGTGTTATAATCAAATGATGGTCAGCTGGTCCCCTGTCGTATTTTTGAAACAAATACCTTTAAGGCTTCAGCGTCTAATGTCCACCCTACATAACACTGAGGGCTGCTTTTTATTTGCCATTTTTGATGTAAATGCTTGCATGTCTTTTGCGCTGTGATCATTTGCACATTTTTTTCTCCCCGTGCGTGGCACATCGTGCTCGGGCAGGGCTGGGAAGTCATTACTTGACTATTGCTTAAACTGGTCTGGAAGCTCTTGTGTTTCTGTGGCACCTTGGCAAGGTGCTACGGCTTTCACTTACCTCAGTGAGGCCTTTCCCCATGCGGAGGGAGGGGTTGAACACCAAGTGAGAGGGAAGCAGATGTTATGGACCTTTGAATTTAAAGCTGCAGATGTGAACAAGCAGGGGAAGAGGAAGAAATGGGTCGGTGGCAATTTCTGAGGAGCTACGCTGCCTGCCTCCTGGATTTCTCCTGCCCAGCTGGCACAGCTCCCATTGCTCCTGCCCTGGCTCCTTGTAGCGCCAGCTCCCTTAAAACCTCATCAAGGTACTGAGCAGAGCTGGGCTTTGGCACTGTTTGGATTTAGTAAGTACAGCCAAAATCGATGGGGCTGTTGTCAGCGATGAGGCCTCGCACATTCCTGACATTTCTAGAGTCCGTCAGGTTTTGTTCTTGAAAAGCTATGACTTCATGGGAACGCCACAGAGTCGCACGCTGGATGTTATCGTCTGCATCAGTTACCTGCCCGATCGCTCCCCTTTGGCAGCTGTTTGAGTCGTACGTTCTCCAAAGCCAGGACTCAGCCTCCTGCAGCACTGGGAAGCTGAGCTCCCAACGCATTTTTAGGCAGAGCCTTTGCACTGCTTAGGGGCCTTGGCTACAACGTCCGCATAGAGAACGACAAAATCACATGCGTGGTGGACATGGCTCCACTGCCTGTGCAGTACAGTCACATCGTGCATGCAAAACAGTAGTTCTCACACTATTTTTTTGATGCATCACAGGATTCCTGTGGTAGGCCAGAAGTTGTGTGTGTTGGATTGACTGTTCTGCAGCTTCACTGCGGCTTTGCGTTTTGACTCTGCGGGGGTTTTTTTGCAGGAGGTCCACAGCCACCCAATCTCAGTTCTGTTGTGCTTTGAGTACAGAGCCCCTTCAAGGCTTGGTCCTAGTCAAGTAGAAACCACTACTATGTACACGACAAGTTACAATTGTCATCTTCTAAAAGAAAAGGAGGAGAAAGATGACTAGGACACAAGAAAGCCATATTATATAAAGAATTCCATATATTTCTTAATAGTTTGAGAACAGATAAGTAAAAACAGGGAAGGGAATGAAAAAGGATGATTGCAGAGAGAAGGTGGGAGTGTGCATGTAGAAGGGCTTATATGTAAAGAACAGAAGGTCCTCCGTCAGCAAGGATATTTTCTTCTGACGCATAGCAAAAAACCCAAACAAACCCGAATTCCAGAGTTTAGAGCCAGAACTATGATACTGAAAGCAATATATCCTCCCACATTTGGTGGGGAGGAAGAGGATGATGACGTCACTGTAGCGATTCGGTTGTGGCTTTAACTTTGTCTGGCATGGTATTTTACATTCCGGTGTTGTGTTTCTCACAGGTGAGTTCATTATTGGTCGTGTTATTAAAGCTATGAACAATAGCTGGCATCCAGAGTGCTTCTGCTGTGATATCTGCCAACAAGTATTGGCCGATATTGGATTTGTCAAGAATGCCGGCAGGTAAATCTTCACCCTTCCTTCTGTTACTGATCATGAATAAAATTAACTGAGAGAGGGGACTGAGAGGTTTTGGTTCCTGAAACTTTCCAGCTGAGGTGGAGCAACTGAAGCGTCTTTTGTGGGGAAGAGGTCTAAGAGTGCATTACAAAACTAAGAATGGGTATCTTAAAATATACACTTAAAATATTAACAGTTTACCTACTTCAAAACCAGATTTCTCAGCAAACATATTCTCTACCTGGTAACGTTTTGGGGCCATTGTGATACATCAGAAGAGAGAAAACATTCAGATATAGAAGCATTGCCTTTGTTTTTTTAATACGAGTTTTTACTTTCTTTTTCCAACTTGTGTTTCCAAGTTTGGTCTCGTTTAGCACCTTATTTATTAATAATTGCTTTAAGTTCAGCGAGACACAGAGTAGGATATTTTTACCAGCTGTGATCACAAGAATGTTTTACAAGTGGATCCTATGGCCGTTGGCTTCATGTGTATAATATGATATACGTAGTTATTTACAGAATGAGGACCTGTGTGGTAATGCAGCTTCCAATCTAAATTTTTGGGATTTTGAGAGTAAAACACTCAGCAGTGAGAATTTATCACAAACTTTGTTTTCTGTGTTTCAACACAGCCTAAACTCAAGTGAGCTGAAGAAATTCTATCCCTGTGGCAAGAGAAAATAAAATGATAGCCCTCCCTCTTCTGAACTTGGTTTGCCTAACAAGGAAAGTGTTTTAAAGACTATTTTCCCTCCAAAAAGGGCCGACTGAAATGAGATTCTAATAGATTTTTTGTTTATATTTTGCACTGTAGTACCTGGTACCAGTACTTACCTCTCTCTTCAATGCTGTTTCAGACATCTCTGCCGTCCTTGCCATAACAGGGAAAAAGCCAGAGGCCTGGGAAAGTACATTTGCCAGAAGTGTCATGCCATTATCGACGAACAGCCTCTCATATTCAAAAATGATCCTTATCACCCTGATCATTTCAACTGTGCAAACTGCGGGTAACTTGAGTTCTGCAAAGTAAAACAGGAAAATGCTGGGTTTATTTGCTTCATCGATTTACATCTTAAAGTGAAAACCTGTCCTGTACAACTGGCAAGAGGGGTGGGGTCTGGGTGCCTTGCGGCCAGATGTGTGTAACTGCTTTTGGGATGGTGGGGTTGGACCTTGAGTTCAAACAACAGCTGACCTGTTGGGGAATAAAGAAAGGTTGGCCTCTGCAGGACAAGGTGGTACCTTACAAAATACAAAGTATGGACACAGATAACGGTTTCTGTAGCAGTGAAATGATAGCTTGTTATTCTGCTATGAAGGGAAGAAAAGTGGTCCTCTTTGGCTGCTTGAGTTACTATCTTGCCTATGTCATTTCTTTTTAGTTGAGTGGCATGCAAACTTTGTTCTCTCCTTTTAAAGCCTATCTTTTTCTTAGAAGCTTTCTCCCACCTCATCAGCTTCTGCAGCTGCAGTACATGAAGCTGCACATTTCTACATCCTGCACTGATGCGGAGATCAGGGGGCATCGTAGGATATAGCGTGGATTATTAGGTGTTTATTTGTGGTGCAAAGGAAGCTATCATTTCAGTGCCATAGCAAGGGCTGGTTTGAGTAACAACATGTGGTGGTATGTCAGTGGCAACCAGTTGAGAGCATTAGTGAGTACAATCACGTTTAAAGTTTAGCTGTTCTCAGTATTCTAACCATGCACATTACTAAAAAGTAGAGTATATGAGATTCTGCAATTGGCAATGAATAAACTTGGCTAGCTCATGTGGGTCCGTAGTTTTCTTTCTCTGAAGTTTGATACAACAGGGAAAATGTACCTAGATGCAGAAGACTACATTTTACTTTCAGTTACAGTTGTACAAATCTTAAGTAAAGTGGTGATAAGAGTGCCAGAATATAAACCAAACATGTCTGCAGCTTGCAGACACACATTTGTGCTACATAACCAGAATGCAGAACGACAATAGCTTAGTAGCTGTTTTCAGAGAGGCTTAGTGTGACTCACTTAGCAGCCTGTTCTCGGTTTACTGTGATCAGTCTTGAACTATGTTGAACTATGTCATATTTGATGCTGCTGCGTTACTGTAATACAAATACAATTTCTAAAACAAATGCTAAAAATTATTTTTTTCTTTTCAGAAACTCTCAAGAGTTGACATTGTTCGGTGCCTTTATTCATGCTCTCAATTCATTAACTTTTCAACAGGAAGGAACTTACTGCTGATGCTCGTGAGTTGAAGGGAGAATTATACTGCTTACCCTGCCATGACAAAATGGGTGTCCCCATCTGTGGGGCATGTAGAAGACCAATTGAAGGCCGTGTGGTGAATGCTATGGGCAAACAATGGCATGTGGAGGTAAACGTCAGATGATACATTGTCTTTTCCAAACATAAACATTAACATGCTTATTTGGGATTTTGCTGATCAATTTCAATGAAAGGATTAGCAAAGTATGCAGCAAGGATCAGTAAATGCCTTCTCCTAATCCCATCTTCAACCTTCTTGTGGCTGGTCTTCCACTGTGAAGTAGGAGTTATCTCCTACCTTACAGAAAGCTTTGACTGTGAAGCTAAAATCAGTAATCAAAGGAAGCACTGTGAGGTCCTTATAGAAGAAAATTTCAGAGTGCAAAACAGTACGTGTGGTAAGGCAGTAAAATTCTGTGGCAACCATAATATTACTGAGCATCATAATACCCGTATGTCTTCCACAGTCACCTGCCATGTGACTAAATATCTCTAAAGCACTTTATGTGAGGGTTTGTATTTCAGGGCCATGTACAAGATTTAGGAAGATAAACAGTCTATTCCTTTTGAAAATCTCCTCCAGCAAATGCTTTCTTCACAAGAGTGTAATGTTGGTGCAAATTATTTAAAATATTTTCATTCTGTTCATTGATAACATATCAGAATCCCTTTGCTTGATTTTTTTTTTTTGTAACTTTTGGATTGAAATGTTGAAGACATTAAAAGGAGCATTATTTTAGTGGTCTAAATGTAGAAACAAGTTTTAACTCTCCTTTTCAAGATGGCACAGCTAGCTCAGTAGACTTCAGTCATGTTCAGTACTGGGCGTGGTTGGTTTGCTTTCCAGAAAAAATACCATTACTTCCAAGTAATCCAAAAAATTGTATGTAATTTTCTTTGTAGCATTTTGTTTGTGCAAAATGTGAAAAGCCATTCCTGGGTCATCGTCATTACGAGAGAAAAGGTTTGGCATATTGTGAAACCCACTACAATCAGGTAAGGTTGCGTACTTTTAAAAATAGTGTTAATTGGTAAACTAATGAATTGGTTTTGTTAGATAGAGATGAAATCCCATAGACATTCTTCTGTTTTCGTCTAGGCACCTGTGGGTGTAATGCCGATTACCAGATGTTCTGTGGCAGTCAATTTATATGGGTTTCTCTATACATTGGTCTGGTATCGAGAAATAAAACTGCAGGGATTCACAAAGGCTAGCCAGGACAATCAGTATCGAGTTGTTCGTCAAGTTTAGTGGTACTTAAGTAGAGCTGTTATGAGCTTTTACGTGACTGTGAGATCAGAGCAGGTAATGACACTCAATCTTTCCCAAGAAGCTGAAGAAGATTTGCCGCTCAGTAGCTGCGGTTTAAGACGAGGCCCT